ATATGTACTTGGAGAAAAATATACTAAGTCCATAATTAAAATCTAATTCTCCAAGTGATGTATTCAATTATTTGAAAAATGCTAATCAACTTGTGTCAATAAATTATGCTGTTGTCAAAAAAATTTTTATTTCTCAGTGAACTCACGTGATTTTCAGAGTGAATGAAACAGAAAGGGAGAGAATTTACACAGCCAGTGTTGACGTCAGTCCCTGTTGTAACGATATTTGACAGGAATCGACCGATCGACTGAATGACTCCTTTTGGGCGACGGCGTCCTGGGCGTTCGGGCAACACCCATTCGTTAATTGTTCATCTCCCGCGTATCTCAAATAATCGGCCAATACGCGTGTACTTCCTCCATCGAAACCCACCCCCGTTTAAAACACGTGAAGAATTTTCAAATGCTACATCGTGAAATTCAATTTGCCTGTTCAATTGCCAATTGCTTTTTCACTTCGCCAACCGAATTGCGAATATTTCTCCTCAACATCCTGTATCCAATCTGATGATGGATAAATTCGTTATACGGCCCAATAAAGTGATGATTAGATAGAGAAATTGCTAGATTGAATTACAGAGAAAACAGTGACTGAGAAAAAAAAAATCAATCGCAAAATAAAGTTCACGAGCACCTAGTTAAAATGGAGGAAAGGTGTAAAGAAACTTGTTGAATCGTTTGTTAAGTTATTCCAATAAAGTGAAGTGTAAAGGAATATATAATAGGGTTCAGCAAGTGTCAAACACATGACGGTTATATACTTTTCGTGGTGGCAATAAATAAAAGATGGATTGATGGGTGTTAGCGTGAAAGGTTGGAAAGATGACGATGGTAGGAAGGTTGAGAGCGGTCAGCTTTCACCGAAGAAAGGTGCCTCCTGGGGAATAAACGAAATCGACAAGGAAGAGAGACATTGCTGGAGGATATTAATATAAGGGCTCGATACGTAATTATAGTGATTACCGCATTGCCAGGGGGCGTACGAGGGCGTCCCACAGTTTGCACGTCATTCTGCAATCTCAACTTCCAACCTAGGTACATGCGCGTGAATTTGGCATCAACGAGATGCTTTTTTCCATATTCTCATCAATTTTTGTGAATTTTAAAAGGTCACTCTGCCATCACACTATATGTTCTCTTCTTTTCGCTTTCGACAACGTAATCATCAGTACAGTTCTCACGATGTACATCGTAATTAGCTGTCGAAAAATTGTGACGATGAGTTGATGGTACATCGGCTTATCCCAGCAATTTTACAATTGAGAAAATTCTCGAGTTGTCAGAGGTGTGAAATAATTATTTTCATACTGAGGATTATGTACTTGCAGCTTTAGAATATAAGTATTGAGTTAATCATTCTCATTAGGATGGAAATATTGCCTCCAAGCGTTTAGTTAAGTATGCCTGTCATTATCCTGCAGTAATTATACCTGACTAAACCTGTCATGCATACTTTGGAAGTATTAATGTCAGTATTTGTTTTCGATGGACATTTTAAATTCCATTATATTTAAAGAGCTAAATGTTAATGGCGAAATTTACAAGGCATCGATAGCTAAATTGGGCATTTGAGTTGAATGCCAAATTTTATTGCCCGTAATTTTCCTCAAAGTAAACAACGCAATCAATTCCAGTAAAATTAAATTACGGACCCTTTGAAGAAATCCGTAAGTATAACAAATACTCAACTCAATAAATTTTTTTTTTGCCACCCCAAGAGAGCTGGATGATATGTAAATTTATTTGGCAATGGAACAAAAAAAAATATATACTCGATCCAGCTGGATTTTTTTTTGTCCGAGAAGACGTGAGTTATAGAGACTTGTAAAGAACACCTCATAAATCGTCGACTTCTCCAGGGTGTCTCCCAGAAGAGGAGAAACCCCACTCATACGTACCAACTGACGAAATCAGAACCGAGAGCCGTCGAGTTCGTAAATCAACCGCGAAACGACTATCATATACTGTTTTATTTCTCACTCCAACATCTCGCCAGAGCACTTAAACCGACTTGAACTGTACCTGAAACACATGACTATACGAATAAAATAGAGTTTATATTATCCACAAAACGGCTTGTTCATTCCTCCAGACTGATATCCATTTTTTGAGTTAATTATGAGCGGAAAGTCGTGAGAGCTATCTCGTCGATGGCCACATGGCAAGAGAGACAAGTTGAATATTCGAGTAGAGAAGCCGCAAAGTTCCAATGCATCTTTGGCCCTCATAGACCATTCACTCACCAAAAGAGAGAAAGAGAGAGAGAGAGGGACGTGTGCCGCCCTGTTATTATCCGCCCCCGTTACCCATTTCCCTTTCAACCCCTCTTGCCAAAGTTCCTCTGACCGTCTGCCAATCAACGATTCATCATTGAAAGTCGATCGGCAACTCTCTTTAACGGATCAACAGAAGCCGATAAGTATAGATCACCTGCGTTAAATGAATGAATCAGCGAAAATAATTATAAAAAAAAAAAAAATATGAGTTATTGGATTTTACGAAAAATCATTCACCATTATTCGATGGATTCTCTATTACGATTCCATCACGCAATCCAATACGTCAGTATTTTTTATGTACTTCTGTTGTTGGAGAAACTTTTTTGTTAGTATAAACAATATGTTATAAGAATGACATACGATCACGAATAGTGAGGGATCGGATGAGGTGCCGTGGCCGAGGTGGGCGTTTAATATCCACCGTTCATTGTAAAACATCCCTTTTCTCGCGCCTGGCCACGTTGTTACCCTCACACCCGCCCCTTGCTATCCGACGGCCAGGAGTTTATACACCACTCTTTTGTGGAGGGATGACACGCGATGTCCGCATCATCGCCTCTTATTTCCCATCGCTGCGCTCTACATGTCAGAGCTCATCCGATTAAACTATCTTCATTCATGCTTTTTCTATTAGTTACTTTTATTCAACCCCCACCGAACTTTCTTTCCCTTTCTTTCCTTTTCGCATAATCATATATATATGTATATTACCTATTAAAAAAATTTTCTGGTTAAATATTATGAATGGACCATTCAGGTATTTTATGGATCGACGAGTGGCGCCACCAGTCTCCTCTCATTATCCAAAATTAGGTCTTAATGCGATCCGGGAACTCCACAATGCGATCCTTCGCCTACGATCATTAGTTTCCCAGTAACAGGTCTCACAATTCATTCATAAATACCATCACCAATTCACACCATCAAATTTTACGTTTTGATGATTTTTTTCTCCTACACCCACATTGTGTCAGAGTTGTAAAATTATTTTTTAGTGTGGGAGAGGCAATCAGCGGGGATTGACAAATTATTCGTCGTTTTATTGTATAAATTTACTGCCAACTATCTGAATTAAAAGACTGCTGGTGAAATGATCAGAAAGTCAGAGAAAAGACCCGATGAGATGACGAGTTACTCCACTGGCCCGACGGCCAGGAGAATCGTAATTAATCGAGTGCCCTCCCCTTCTTCAATCTCTCCAACATATCCTATTCCAATCAGTGAGTCGTACATGCGTGTCTTCTCCACAAAACCAAGTCGAAGGCATTTAAAATTCAACCTCCACGATTAAAATCACATTAGCCAGTTTATAAGTGAGATCACGCTACTCCAACCACTTCTTATAAACCCAAATCAACATATTATTTTTTGTCCCATTTTCTTAAAAACCATCCCACATATCATTAAGATATTCGACGACTTAATGACCCGAGAATCTCCCTCGTATCGTACCCCGAAACCGCTTCTCGTAGTTATAATTTTCCAGCCTCAGCCTTGAGATCCATTCATCGACGTCCCACAGACATCATTAGAAAGAATGTAGCAAAAACCCGGCGTTTTCCCCGAATTAATGTATGAATCACTGTGCAAAAAAAAACCCCGACAGGAAAAAAAATTCAACCGATGTCTCGTGAAACCCCAGAGGCACTGGTATCTCTCACCCTTACACCCTCCATTTGCCATTTTCACCAACGGTTGAGCCATTTCTCTCTACCTCCGGCAGTCACAAGAAAAGAGAAAACAAGAGGAAGCAAAAGAGCATACGAGAATACTTTAAAGACAGCGAGAAAAGGAGCAATAAATTCCGCGGTGAGCGTTGGTAAAGAACCAAGTGAAAAAAAAAAACTGGAAAAAATGGAAAAAAAGACAATGCAAAAGAGCCGAGTAAAAAACAACAGAACAAAAGATGAAATAGAGAAAAAAGGGGTTGTGGTGGAAGATGGAGGGGTGGGGAGTCGGAGGCAAAGGGTGCGCACGCATATGACGGTTTGGGGGTACCCCTTCCGTTTGCCAAGTGATATGAGAAATCAGGTGAGTGGGGAGTAATGAATGGAGTAGTGGTGGGGAATAAAGAGAAAACGTCGAGGGGAATAAACGATTGGTGGGCGGTCTGTGGGCGTCGTCGAATTGCTCTGGTACCGCCTCGCAGCGGAGCAGGCCCCCCTTTTTTTTAAAAAACTCTCTATCTCTGACATTGCGAGTAGAGGGGAACAGAGATATCCATATGGCGGTGCCGTGGGGGGAAATAGCCCTCCCCTCCACTGGTTCTTTGCGCCGGCTGAGAACCCGATCGGTTACGCCGGCAGTCTGTCACGGCGCGAACAGCGGGAACCACGTTTTTAACCGGTTTAACAATCCTTCCTGCACCACCGATAAACAACAACAAAAAAAAAACAAAAATTGAGAGAACAAAAAAGAAATACCATTGAAAAGAATAGAAATAAAATAAAATAGTCGCTAAGCGCAATTGCAAAATAAAATTGAGGAAGGAGAAAAGGCACAGCCGTGTCGGCCCCTTGGGGCCTTAATTCAATTTTCAGTTAAATTATTCGTTGTAGTTAATCATTCTAATGAACGCTGTGTTATTCGTGTCTATTTTATCACTGATAAGTGATAAACAATTGTGATTGTCGAGTGTAATTGTTATTGTTACACATCGGTCTGATAAATTTTGTTGTTTGGGGCTGTTTCTGAAAGCATTGAATTGTCTGTCAATTAAAGAGACGGAGGCGAGGAAGCACGGAGGGGCTCGAGATGCTGACGGACATGACACCAGCTGCGGCTGGTCAGCTCTATCCTCAGCTACAATCTATCACCAAGTCACCGGTTCACGGTCATGTGGTGAGTGTCATTATTAGAATTAAGAGCCACCGATGATCCGCGATGAGGGAATTTTTTTTATTGAGAATTAAGAGGGATTACGCACCATCCGACGGATTATTGCGGCAAAGGGATTTTCTTATCTGATGGGTTGGAATCAGAATGTCAATTGGATGATGTCGATTGGGTACCTCTGCCGTCACGATAGAGATCGTAATCCTCACTTGGGAACAGGTATAGGAGACATTTTCTCGTTGTAATCTTGAGGGATCTTGTGCTACTGGAATGGGCCACCTCCCACACTCGTGTACCCGCCGGATAACATCAAGATCTTTGTCGATGAGTTTAAACTAACAAATTAGCGGACACTCTCGGCAACTTAACGCCTTTGTTCTAGGATATTTTAGATGAGATCTCAGAATTATTTCAGTCACTATTCGAGCTTGGGGCCCGAGACCTGCGTTACCTGGCAGAAATTAGACTGAAGGGAATTCTTAATTAGCCCGGGGTTCTCCTATTACGTGAAATTGAAAAAATCTAATTAGGTAATTATCCACATTCATTCATTCGTTCATTGAGGGAAGACTTTTTGGTTGAGAGTGAGTGAGGAAGACGGAGAGGCGGAGAGAGAAAGGAAATATTTCATTTGTCGTGAGATTAAAAGCTCTTTTTACATTTTCATTGAATGAAAACCATTTTCTACTTCATTCAATGACAATAAGCATAATACATTTTTATCACTCGGGATTATCCCGTCGGCTGATCCCGGATTTTCAGTCTCAATATTGTGACATAGACAACATAGACTGTTCCCCCAGAAACACGTGTTTCCTAAACTGTTGGGAATAAAAAGAAATTACTCGTCATTTTCTTATTGGCTGCCGCCGTTTGGATATTCTTTCTGAGCTCTAGTCGTTTGGCTTTATGACGAGAGCCCGGGGACTGCAAAGCAATGCCGACGAGAGTCACCGAGTGATTTACGAGTAGAACGGGTTTAAAACACAAAAAAAAATGTAATTAAATCCGCAGCGTAGTAATAATAAAAAACCAACGAGAAGTTGAGAATATAAACTAAGTGTGCGTTAAGGGTTTCTCTCTTCAGTGTGGTAAAAGTGTGGAAATTAATGTTGGGGAAAATGTCTATTACCTAGGTGGGTTTGTTGGGAACCTAGAATGAACCTAGAGCCAATCGAGGGTGATGTCGTCGACGGGAACGACATCACACGTGCGTGCGTGATGTTGCCCTTCTCGCTTTGGTTTTACTTCCTTCGGCTCACTCCTTTTTATCGTTATTCTGTGTGTTTTTTCATATTTTTTTTACAACCCAGCTCACTCCTCTTTGTCGACTTATTTTCATATTTCGAATATGGAGTCACGACACTGTGCGGGTAATCGCGGTCGATCGAACCAACCGCAGAATATGAGAGTTCTTAAATAAACATGAAGATTTGAGTTGAGTTCAATTGGAGTTTAAATTTATTTTAGAATGCCCCAAAAAAATCCAATCCAATTGCCAGACGCGTGAGAATCGATAAAAATGTTCAAAATTTTCCTGAAAAATTTTTATTGTTGCGTTTACTGAATCGAAATGTATCGGATGTCTCCCGTAAAATCGAAACATCCCTCGCGTCTTCTCAAGACTCTGAAAAAAAATTTTTCGGACTACCTGTGCCCTTCGAGGACGAGCCAATTATTTATCTGGTCCCTTCATTGTACGACACAGGATCCACTTGACAGGATACGTGGGAGGGTAATACAATATACACTTCCTCTGTTGTCACTTGACACTGCTAATAGGGACCTCAAAAGATCTCTCGCTCACAATAAGAAAAAAAAAATAACAAATTTCGCTGGTCCTGTTGCATGGCTGTCTCTGGTGACATTCCCCCAGTGCTCCTGTTCTTTTATTAATATGTGAAGCAATACAACAAAAGTTCAGTTTATTTGAGGTTATTGAATATTGTTTGTAGGAAAAAAAATCATCGACCGTTGGGGGCCACTTGTGACTTGTAAACTCCACGTCTTTACATTCTCCATGCATATAGAGTTGTTTTCATATTAGTAAACCATGCGCTTATATTGCTGGGGTATACCATAAGTACCGATCGATCCATATGAATCTTTACCATGTGCGCATACGGAAATTAGTGCTATTTAATATTCAAAAGTTCATTGACAACAATGATTTTTTTGAATTAATTTCATGATTGAAATTTCATGATGAGTATCATGATATATATTTCTTGATTTCTAATCAGTGACCTCTGTCTCATGTCGTTGCTATTTGCTCAGATATTCTAGGCTGTTACTCGCGTGTTCTTTTATTTTGAGTATTTTTACTTGAATTATGGCAATTTTGCTGTCTTGTCTTGTTGAATAATAAAAGAGTGCATTGCGTACACCGTTTTACATTCGCTAGAAAAAATAAAGCTCTTCGCTCCACTTCACTTTTTCGAGTGGTATATGTATAGAAGAGGGTCTGATCCTATAATCCGCTTCGGTAGCGTGTCGCTCTTTCGAGCGTTGACATTTTCGAGTGGCAACAATGGACTGCGACAGGCCCATCGGGATAAATTTTTCGTTGTTAACGCCGACCTTTCTCGTTCGTCACGGCGAATATAAAAGGGACACCAGTGTGTTCAAATTTTTCTATAGGAGTTTGTAAAAGTGAGCATTTACCTGGAGAAGAGGATGTCGGAGCAATTTGTCCACCCTGAGAATTTCCGTAATTTTTTTCTTCGCCAAAATTAATTCCTTTGCCGTTGAGCCATCGAAGTACTAATCCATTGCTATTGAAATTTCATACAGAAAAATTTTGGGGCTGCCGTAAAGTGCATTATTGCTTTTTAATGAGTGATCTGTACGATTGGCAAAATTATGATCAATTGGTCGAACGTATTTACAATCCTAGAATTAATAAACTTGTCTTATAAATTATCAGAAATATTATACACATGTAGAAGCTAGCTTCAACACCTAAGCCCTCAACTTCCGGTTATGAATCGAGCAGATGTTCCATACGGGTTGACAATATGGCCGACCATTCACCATTTGTACCACGTAAAGTGTGATTGATCGACGGAGGGTCTAGAAATGATATGTTTTCTCGAAATGCGTCAAAATAAAAATGTCAAATTTGTCAGATTTTCAGAAATCAATCTAGTCGATGGATCAATCATGGCGCTGCGAGCATCATTTCCATTTTTTCCAATTATTCTTTTTATTTAACTCGAAAGAGAATATTTTTTCCATTGGAGCGTAAAACGACATACGGGAAAATATTGTGACAGGAAAATTAATTTCGAGGCGTCGATCGCGGCACTCGAGGCGGCGCCACGGAATGATAATTGAAAAGAACGTCATCCCAATGGAGCAAAGATCCAGCCGACCAAACAATATTCATCGGGCGCATCTACATCGAATTACCCAGGTATTATCGGTACACCGCATCGTGCGGACCTCTTCTCCGCGGGGCTTATACACCTCGGGAGGAATCGTGCGCGCCAACCGTCCAAACAAAGGAGTTAAGAAGTAAAAAAGACGAGGTGAAAAAAAAAATCCCCACGGGGGTACACCGAGGCGACCAGACTCTGTGGCTTTATCGTTGCGGCTCTTTCCCTTCTACCATAGGCCATGGCACCGCTGAGAAACTCAACGACACAGCACAGTAGGGGTGCCAAATGCCTGTGGCGCGAGCCAAAACATCCAACACCCTATCTCCAGTGATTTATCGGTGTGATGATGTCTCTCATCGAGTCATCGCATCATCCTCGAGATGGAAATCGACTTTTTCCCATTCACCTCCGAGCTTTCCAACTGGTAATATTCATTCTTCTACTCGAATTAACAACAGCGGTGTAAGAGTGAAAATTATTTTTGTAGCTTTTTTTTCCGCGTTGAAACTAAATCATTCTTCATTTTCTGGGTGTGAAAGAATTTGTTACGATCACACATAAACTCACCTTATATTTTTCCCTCTCTTCTTCACCCATACGATATATATATACCCGATGTTAAGACCGGTTTCGAGATAATTGCCCAAGACCTTACCGATAAAACCGGCTAGTGGAAAGTATCATTATCTACCGTACTATGTGTCCGCATAGATGGTCTTATCGATTGAATATCCGTGGGATAAGGGAAGTCAATGTATCTAAAAAATTTTTTTTTCAACTTCTACTTACGACACGACCACCCGCTCAAACCGAATTGCAATCTCCGATGCAAACGCCAGATTAATTTCTCCATGGATTTAAATACGTATTCCTTTTTTCTAAGAAGATCTTCAGATCCCTCAATACTCGATCGGCGTAATCGTTTCTCAGTTTCTCCCTCTCTGCAATAATTCATTCTAATTGCGCATTACAACTCATAAAACCGCAGTGAGGAATAAAATCAACTGTGAAAAGTCCTTCAGAGAATATCGCGCGGGTGTTGTTGATGTGTTACGGTACCTTGGCTCTGTACAAATGCATCATAAGAACGATACAGAAAGAGATTGAGTGGGTAAACATGAGCGATTGTCGGAGAAAAAACTCAAGAGGTGATCATGAATTTTTCCAGTGATTTTTTTTTTTTTCATTCACTTCTCCACTCACACATCTGCGAGTTCAAGCCTCATAAATCTCGTCCCACCGGAGGACATAACTGGAACACGAATAAAACCGATGTGGAAAAATGATATGAAAACGTTTAACTTTTTCATATCGCGGAGTACATCGGTTTTATCAGACTTTTTCCGGAGTTAATAAAAAAAACAGTGATTTTGGCGGAATGATAAATTTATACGAATTTTCCCAGGGGGCATTTGGTAGACCACACCACCAACAGAACAATAAATTCACTCGTCAAAGTCACCCCAGGGCCACTCTCTTATGGCTCTCTTATCCCCCATGATGCCTCGAACACGAGGGGGTGGTCTATAATATGTCACAGTCTGTTGCAGTGATCTCGAGGTTCGAGGGTTGTGGGGAGTTTCGTATGGGGATGTGCTCTTAATGCAGTCATTCAATACCCATGAT